TGTTGCATCATAGGCATCGTGTCTGACACTTCTTATCTAAATGACTTTTAAGGTTTTTTCTAATTCTAGTTGGGGCAGCTGGGTGGTGCAGTGGACAGAGTGCCTTCAGGTCCAATACTCTCATTTTAGAGACAAGGAAACTGAGACAGAGAAGTTAATTTACTTGCCTAGATTCACATAGTAAATATATGAGGCAAGATTTGGACCAAGGTCTTCCTGATTTAAAGTCTAGTGCTCTATCCACTATACTGTATGGGACAATGAGGACTATCTACTGTGGATATAGATTTGTGTTTCCAACACAACAAAAATCCAACAAAATAAAAACAAAATCAAACAATAAAACTTTACCTAAGAAAGACTTCTTCAGTAACATATGAATGTGAGAAAAATATTTCTAGCAACCTAGAGCTTGCTCTCTAAGCTTGAGCTCACCTTCTCCTTGGACTCTGTATGTATTTGTGGAAGAGTTTATCACAGACTTTTGTTTTGTACCAATTGTTATTACAGCTATGTGGTACAGCAGATAGAGTACCAACCTGTAGTCAGGAAGACCTGAGTTCAAGTCTAGCATCAGACATTTACTAGTTGTGTGACCTTGGACAACTACTTTCCACAGTTTTCTCATCTGTAAAATGGAAATAATCATAGCACTTACTTTCCAGAGTTGTTGTGAAGATAAATGAGATATTAGTGAAGTACTAAGCACAGCACATGACACAAAACAAATGCTACATAAATGTTAGCTACCACTTTAGTAAAAACTATTTATAACTACTTTTATCTTTCAAAAATTTATTTTTTTAGCATTCATTTTTTTTAATGTTGAGTTCCAAATTCTCTTCCTCTCTCCAGCCCTTTCTCCATTCATTGGGAAGACAATATGATATCAATTATATATGTGTAATCATGAAAATCATATTTCATATTATTAATCTTGCAAAAAAGCAAGAAAAATAAAGAAAATGAAAAAACTATACTCAATTAGAATTCATCAGTACTCTCTCTGGGCATGGAGAACATTTTTCATCATGAGTCTTTCAGAATATTCTAGATCATTGTGTTGATCAGAGTAGCTACTTCTTTTTTATTTAATCAATTAATCATTAATTAAATTTTCATTTTATTAAATTTCTTTTTCATGTTCTATAGCTTTTTTGCTTGCACTTTTCTAAATCTCCAACAATCACATTTCAATATCCTTCCTAAGTATCTTAGACTCTTCTTTGTTTTCTTTGCTTCTCCATAAAGTAATTCTACACTACCTTAAATTAAGCATAATTTTTTTGTTAAAATGAGATGATGTAGAAATATTAACTGATGTGTTTGGAGAAAAAAAGCTCTAGCCTTGATTCAATTTGTATTATAGAATAATATGAAAGTCATGTTAAAAAAACAAAACATAGAAGCCTAATACAGTCCTTTCACAATTTTCCTGTTTCAAAAAATTTCTTAAGCAAGAATACACATTTGTGGTTTAAGTATGATAAAGTGTCAGGAGCTTTCAAAGTATTTATCTAATTCCATTCATTTCACTAACTCATTTTAAGTTTCAGACTTGCTGATTGACTTTTGGTAAGTCATTCAATATTTTGGTTTCTCACTTTTAGGAGATGATAAATGATTAATAGTAATGTTTGCTATCTAGTTATCTTAGATTTTTCAGGAGCAAAGAGCTTAACTTTGTTAGGATAAAATACAATTTCAGATCTTTATTTTGATTTCCAGAAATTATTTTTATTATGTGAAAGGACTGAGAAAATGAACCCTCAAATTTCTTTTGAAAGGAAGAGGATCCAGTCTTATTTGGGGTGTTCAACACTTCCTTAATGCTGGTAAAATGTCCCAAAGTTGTTGACTGACAGATGAAAATTGTGGATATGTGGTAGTATGTATGTACGCATATACAATGTGACTTATCAACTATCTCAGTATGGTACATTCTTGGATTATAGGAGTATAGCTTTATAGAGGGAAGAGATTGAATCCAACCTCCTCATTTCACATGTAAGTAAATGAGACTTAGAAAATTATTTGCATACCTAGTGTCTAAAGCAGGATTTGAACTTAGTTCTTCCAGACTTTAAATCCACTGCTCTTTCTCTCTCTCTCTCTCTCTCTCTCTCTCTCTCTCTCTCTCTCTCTCTCTCTCTCTCTCTCTCTTCCCCTGCTCTGGCACCTCATAGCTATCTCTAAGTATTACCTGTGGCAATTAAAATTAGTCTGGGAAACTATACAAAAAGCAAAAAATATTTTAACTTGGATGTTGTTTCATGCCATACAAATATATTTCTGTTAAAAAATTTTTCATGAAAGATACTATCTCTATCAACACATAATGCAGAAATCACAATTTTATTAAGAGTTCATAATCAAAAACTTAAAAAAAGAGAATGAGAAACTCTGTTAATATTTACAGTGCCTAAGAAGATGAAAATGAAAGTTATCATTGGCCATATTCCAATTCTTAGATATTCTACACAGTATAAAAACAAATATTTGAAGCAGTATGCTTTCAGTAAAGAGGAAATTGCCTAATCTCAGGTTTTTCTGTTAGCCTTCAATTTCTTTAAATGACAGCTACAAAAATATACCAATCATTCAAATAAATATATTAATTAATTCATTATTTGATTTAGGAGGTAATTTACCAACTACCTTGCAAAGTGGACTCTTTTAAATTCATCACTGATTTTAATGCCTTTTGTTTCAATTCAATCAGACTCCACAGCTAAGTAGGGGACCAAAGAATGGGCAAAAGGATATGGAAAATATGTTCAAGCTATTTGCTGTCAGGAACAGTGATCTCCACAGTGCTGGTCATGCACACTTAGGAGACTTTATGGACACACCAAGGAATATATGATCAACTAATAGAAAAGTGAAAAAATGTGTCACAGCAGCTCACTGTCTCCAACAAGGCACACCTCCTTTATTCTCCATTGCTCCCCCATTCTGCTCCTTTCCTCCCCTACATCTCAGACCTTCTGAGCTGTACTGGCCTTTCAGGACATTTATAATCTTACCTCTATCTGGGAAAGCATATCTAGAAAGGAAGCTGCCCAGGTCCACCTCCCTCCTCACACACGTACACAAATCCAACACACCCACCCCCTATACCCAGATCCCTTCATGGCTCTGCAACAGTTCTCAGAGGGCTGTCTCTGAAACAGTGACTCATGAATATTACCAGTAAGAAGTCCTACACTCCCTTTTCATTTGGGGAGAGACAGAATGAGTCACAAAGAATGAAAGGTCAGGGTTTGGTTGTGACAGCCATGAAGATGTTTTTAAATAGCCCTTCTCACCCCAAAAAATTCCTCTGCCCTTCTAAACTTCCTTATTTCTGTTGAAGACAGCACCATTTTCCCAGTCATCAGGGTCTCCAACCTCAGTTTCACTTTTAATTCCTTTTAAGTCCCTCAACCCATACAAACCAGTTGGTGGCCAAAACTTGTTTTCCTACTTTCATAGCATATCTTGCAGTCATCGCCTTTTGTTTACTCACACAGACACCACTCATCACCTCCCTCCTCTTTCCTAGATTACTGCAATAATAATAGCCAGTACTGATATAACACTTTAAAGTTTATAAAAGCTTTACATGTATTATTACATTTGATCCTCACAACAACTCTCTAAGGTACATGCCATTATTATCCCCAATTTAGAGGAGGAAACTGAGGCTAAGAGAAGTTGGGTAATTTGCCTGGAGTCACATAGATAAGTAAGCGCCTGAGGAAGGATTTGAACTTAGGTCTTACTGACCCCAAGTCCAATATTCTATTCACTGCACTACAATAACCTCTCAATTGGTTTCCCTGCCTTAAGTCACTACTCAAACTCCAGTGGCTCCCTATTGATTCTGGGATTAAATATTACTTTATCACTATCTTATCCCTTTTAATTTCTATTTTATATAAATCATATAGTGTACATAATTATTAGTATAGTCACATGCATATACAATTTACAAATAAGTAAATGAACGTATATTGTGGATATTGCTCAAAAAATTTTTGCTGGTAAGGTTGCACAATAAAATAAATTTGGAAATCACTGGTCTAGAAAGGTGACAGTCAAGATTAACAGTGTCCTTGACCTTGAAAATTTTGAAAGTTTCCCAACAAACTATTGGGCTTTTCCCTAGGAATTCAGTATTAATATAACCAGAGGATGTCAGGTCTTTTGAAATCTTCCTTTGCAGAAGTAGGTAAAACCTCATCTATTCAGAAGAGTAGCAGGACAAGCTGTTCTTGTCATCTTCAGTTTTGATTAACAGAGTTTAAACTGGGTGGGTGGGAGGAACAAACACTGAAATATTCTGTGCCAACTTTTGACATTGAACACTTTTACATCCTATTACATAGAAAATATAAAATGCAATGAAATATTTGATGTTTGAAAACAAACTATCACTATGGTTAAATAACGGTCTCACTTATTTTTGTTCCAGTTGATGAAGGTTTTACTTTCTTGATGAAATGGTTATAATAATTAAAATAATTTATTTCTATGGACTTAGTTTACATTTTAGCTTGGTTTTCATGAGGACACAATTCTTTTCAGCTGATTCAAATTAAAATAATGCCTATTTTTTATTTTTCATGTGCAATAGGATTTTGGTAAAATTTAACTAGAGTACTTTAAAATTTATAATTAAATATGATAATTACTTTCTCTTTAGATTGGTTTCACAACAGCTATTCCACAAATATTTGGAGTTGTTTATTTGCTTTGTGGCAGAACCTCTCCCATTAACCCCCCAAAAGTTTTCAAAATGTTCATTTTAAAATTTAATATGAATGAGAGTTGATCTTGTTTTAAAGATTTCACTATTTCTTTTCATTCAAATGGAGATATACCATGTATCAGGGTTAGTTAGAAAACTTTAGGGATAGAAAAATAAAGTTACCAAAGAGTTACCGAAAGAAAAAAAATCTTAAACAAGATAGGTGATGATGTCATATCCTGAACTCAAAAGAGGAAGTAGCATCTAACTGGGCCTTTGCTCATGCTCTGCACTATCCATGCTGTACTGTTGCATGGGGACACTTGCGTCTCTAATATCTTAAAACTCACACAATTTGGAATAAGTCTGACTTTAAAATGTTGAAGAGAAAACCTTCAAATGTTTCAGAAAAGGAGAAACAACAAAAGCCAAAGGTAAGTTAATGATACATAATTAAAAAGAGAGAAAGTTACTGAAAAGATAAGCCACTGAGGTATATTTCTTTTAAAGCTTTCTTTTTATTTGCTAATAATAAAAACAAGTGAGGCATAGGGTTGAATGTTTAATGACAAATATGGAAAAATGGAATTGCAAGGTCTGAAGACAAACACCGTCTGGCAACTGCTGCTTCCTCGCCATCCATTCTTTTTTCCTTAGGATGCTTTTGCCAATAGAAGCTATAACTGATACTTAAGTCCAGCTCTTCAGCCTCAAAATAATTGATTTGGTGTTCTCTGTTTAAAATGTTAATATTAGGAAACTACTATGCATATTTTTCATGACAATGCGTTTGATAATGCTTCTTTGTGAGAATAGAAAATTCTTCTCACCTCTAAACATCATACCTCTTCATAATTAATTTAATAATGATAAAGAAATGGAAACATTTTACATAAAAAGTTTTTTCACCATTTCTGAGAAAAATATGGTTATTATAGAGATTAGAATATAGAGCAAGTATTTTATATAATTCATTGAACAAACTGACATTATTAATACAGAAAACTACTGTGTTTTCCTTGCTCTTAGAATAACAAAATGTTTTATATCAGTCCTTTCAAACAGCAATATTATTATCTTTTTTGTTTTGTTAATAAGTGATTTTAAGCATAACTTGAGAATTATGATTCTACATGGGAAATCATAATTATATTTGTAAATATAGGCATAAGTAAGCATTTTATAGTATTCTGAAGCAAAAATAAGGATTTCTACCATTACTAAAAATTTTATTTGCTATTTGTATTGAATGACTTGTAAACAGAATGATGCTGAGATCAGATCTCTTTCAAATAAATCATATTCAAATGTATTTGTAATTGCTCAACAGCTCTTCTGTAAGAAAATTTGTAAGACTTGTTTGAGGATCTAACAGTACTACATGCTATCTAATAGCTGACAAATCAATAGTTATAGACTATAGTTGAAGTTCTTTGAAGGCACTTGAATAAGAGTCTTCTAGTAGTAATTATTCTTTCAAATATGAAAATCCTGTAAAACAAAAGCAGGTATGCTAACATTGGTATAAGTAACATTGTGAATGGATTGATAGCAAGATCGTATTTTTTTCTTCCAATGTTTAGTGTGAGCAAGATGTTTCCTTTCTTGTGACTCTACCAGGAAATAATAAAAGGCTTGTGGTATGAAATATGTATGCAGTACAGCAAAGAGTATAACAAAAAAAGTTTCATTTGTTCTAGTTAAAGTAAAAATTTTTTCATTTCTCATGTTTCATCATCTTATTTTAGGTCATATATCTACTTGATATGTTGTTACGTGATATCTGATTTTAGTGTACAGAAATTTGAGCTAATTGTAAAACGATGCTCTTGTTACTTGGTGACTTGGACTATTTTAATTTATGAGAAGTATTTTTCTCATGAAGATTCTTCCTTCCATATAAAGGAATATGAAAATCTTAAAAAAAATATACATACAAAAACATTTGCCTTAGGTAAAAATCCACATGGAAACTTATAGAATTTTGCATTTGGAGTTTCCAAAAATTTTCTTTACAGAAGATAATTCTGGGCTTCTTATCCATATCCGTATCCATACATAGATAATACTTATATATCTATTTATGTATATCTACATAAACATGTGCAGATTTTGCTTTTATGCTCTCTAACACATTCACTCTTTTAAAGTTATATTTAAAGATATATTTAATTTCTACTGATATTCTTTGAGTTTCATTTTTGGTTTGCTTCTTAAATAATTTTCTTTTTAAAATAAGATTTTATTGGTGTTTTCTTTTCACGTGACATGATGGGGAGAGTATTGTTCTTTCCATTTACCTTGTTATAGCTATTATATATATTGCTCTCTTGGCCCTACTTATGTCACTGTTTCAATTCATTTCTATCTTTTCTATTTTTCTCTGTATTTATCATATTCATAATTTTTAACAGCACAGTAGTGTTTCATTACATTTATATACTATAAGTTGTTTAACCATTCTCTAATCATTAGGAATATCCTTTGTTTCCAATTCTTTACTAACACAAAAAGTGCTACTACTACAAATATTTTCACGCATATGCCTTTAAAAAATAGTTGTACTAAATCACAACTCCACCAACAATGTACTAGCATGCCTATCTTATCCCCTCCAAATTGACTGTTCCCATCTTTTGTTATCTTTGCCAATTTTTTAGGCAAAACCACAGGGTTATTTTGGTTTACCTTTCCCCTTATTAGTAGTAATTTGGAGTATCCTTTCATATCATATATATATATAAAGAGACAGAGAGAGAGAGAGCAGTAAGATAAGTAGGAGGAGAACCAGGAGAGAATACTGTCACAAAAACCTAAGGAAAAGAGAATATCTATGAAAAGAGGGTGATTGACAAAAGCTACATTAGTAACTTTGGAGAGAGCAATTTCAGTGGAATAATGAGAGAGGAAGCCAAATGGTAGAGAGATAAGATTAGAGTTAGAGGAAATGAAGTGGAGGCACCTATTGTAGATGATGTGTTGAGAAATTTAGCCACAAATGGAAGGATAGATAAAGGATGATAACAAGTGTGGATAGTAGAGCAAAAAAGATTTATTTTTTGAAGATGGAGAAAGAGGGGAATGTTTGTAGTCAGTAGAGAAAGCCAGCAGATAGAGAGGAATTAAAAATAAGTGAAAGAGTAAGGATGATAAAGGGGGAATCTCCTGAAGAAGACTGGATAGAATAAGATCACTTGTGCAGAAGGAGGGATTTGTCTTGTTAAGAAGAAGGACTATTTCGTTACATGAGACAGAGGTGAAGAAGGAAATAGTTGCAAAAGGCATCTGGGTAATGTGAGATAAGGAATAAGGGAAAAGAGGGAGCTTTCAGCAAATGATCTCATTTTTATTTTGGGGAAAACATGAATCAAATTTCTCAACTGAGTGATGGAGGGGAGGCATGAGAGGTTGGAGGAGGGATGAACTGGTTTGGAAGAGCTGCTATGGTGGGATAGTGAGTTAATCTATTCAGTTGTTTCAGTTATATCTGACTTATCATGGCCATATATGAGGTTTTCTTGGTAAAGACACTAGAGTGGTTTGCCATTTTCTTCTCTAGCTCATTTTAGAGATGTAGGAACTAGGGCAAACAGGGTTAAGTGACTTGCCCAGGGTTACACAGCTAGTAAGCATCTGAGGCCAGATTTGAACTTAGAAAGGTGAGTTTTCTTGACTTCAGACCTGGCACTCTATTCACTGCTCCACATAACTGCACAATAAGTTAACAACGAGGGTCCAATTGAGATTATGCAATATAAATTTGTAGTTGACCAAGTTGTCACGGTTTTGTGATTTTTCTTGATTTTCATTCAGCAATGTATGTATAGTAGTGAAGGCAGAAGGCAGTAGAAGTGATCAAAGCCTGAGGGTTGGCAGGGCAAGATAGGTAATATGATAAAGGGGAAAGAGATTCAGGGAAAAAGTAAAGTGTAGAGTTGAATTAGTTCATGAAAGAGTCCAAATTTAGAAGGGAGGAGAGTACAAGGAAGGATTGGGAAGGAACTGAGAGGTCTAGGGATTAGAAGTGACAGTGAATGAAGAAAAAGAATTGGAATTTCAAAGCAGAGGGAGAGGTAAAATGACAATAGATTTTAATAGGATAAGAGAATTCTGAATTGATGAACTACAGTGGTGATTTTCTGAGTAAAGGTAAACACCACAGTGTACTTACGTATGGCTGAGGTGGGATGGAGAAGGTCATGTAAAATAAGTGAATTAAGAAACTAGGAGAACAGGATGTTTGAGTATCAATAATGTATGTTGAAGACCTCTGTTTTGAGGACAGGACTTGAGGAGAGAGACTGTGAAACAAGCAATGACCTCACTGAGGAAAGAAGGTAAAAATCCTGGAGTTCGTTAGACAACAGCTACTACAATTTTGATTTTGTGGTACATGTGGGTTGGGTAAATCTCAAAGGAGAGGATGTGAGTGGTGATAAGAGAGGGAGAACATAGAAGTAGCAATAAAGGCCAAGGAATATTACAAGTCTTGTACCTAGACAAATCAGTCTAGGGGGTTTCATGTTATTAGAGCCATCTATTACACGTTCCATAATGCCTCTATCCTTTGTTTGGTTAAGAATCCATCTCCTAGTTAAAATGGTTCATTTTGATTACATAGAATTAAAGTTTTTGCACAAACAAAACCAATGCAGCTAAAATTAGAAGAAAAGCAAAATAATTGAGAAAAAATCTTTGCAGCAAATTTCTCTGATAAAAGTCACATATAAGTGTGATATATAGAAGAGTGAGTCAAATTTACAAAATGAACCATTCCACAGTTGATAAATGGTTAAATCATAGGAATAGATAGTTGTAAGAGGAAGACATCAAAATTATAGTCATACAAAAATACTCAAAATTACTAATAATTAGAGAGATGTAAATGAAAACAAATCTGAGGTACCATGTCATCCCCATCAGATGACAAAAAAAAGAAAAGGACAAATGCTGGAGGGGCTGTGGGAGAATAGGGGCACTAATGCAATATTGATGGGGCTCTGAACTAGTCAAACTATTCTGAAAAACAATTTGGAACTATGACCCCAAAGCTATTAAATTGTACATGCCCTTTGACCTAGCAATTTTGCAACCAGATCTATACTCCCAAAAGATCAAATGAATAGGAAAAGAACCCATATGTGCAAAAATATTTATAGCAGCTCTTTCTGTACTGGCAAAGAATTGGAAACTAAAGGAATGATTATCAATTGAAGAATGCCTTAACATGTTATGGTAGATGAATAGATGAATATTATTGTTCTATAAGAAATTATAAAATGGAAGGTTTCATAAAAAGCTTGAGAAGACTTGTATGAACCGATGCAAAGTGAAGCAAGAAGAACCAGAACAATTTATACATTTATAGGAATACTGTAAAGATAATCAACTTGAAAGACTTAACAACTTTAATCAACACACTGACCAACCACAA